ATAAACCAAATGCCAGTTTAGAGGTAAAACAATCCTATGACTCTAAATAAAACTACTTATATCATTCTAATTTCACTTCTGATCCTTGTCCACGTCCTCCCATATTTTTACAACATATAATTGCTATGTACACAGTTTCGCCTTTTTGGTTAAGCCATGTTTGTCTTTTAACACATTTCAAATGTTTTGGGAGGGAAGGACAAGAATGGGGTTGCTAGAACATGCTTATTGGCTGTGGAGTGCTATTCCATGCATATTGGAATTTGTTTTAAAAACTGAAATTCCAGCCGAAACTGGTTTGGCTCAGTGGACAGAGCGTCAGCCTGTGGACTGAAAGGTCCCAGGTTCGATTCCAGACAAGAGCATGTTCCTTGGTTGCGGGCACATCCCCAGTAGGGGGTGTGCAAGAGGCAGCTGATGGATGATTCTCTCTCATCGATGTTTCTAACTCTCTATCCCTCTCTCTTCCTCTCTGTAAAAAAAATCAATAAAATATATTTAAAAAAAAACAAACAAAATTGAAATTCCAAAATCAGTCATTATCACATACTGCCAGTTGCTCTCCAGAAAGATTAGCTCAATTTACAGAATCACCACCAATATAACTGCTCCCTAGAAACTCACCAAACATTGGGATTTTTTCATATTAAGTTTTGTGGAACCCTCACCTTTTTTAGTCTGCTGCCAAGGTAAAACCTGGAGTGACTGAGGTTTTCCTGCATAACTAACACTATTCTGTGTGCAGGAAGCTCATGACCCATTGATAAGATGATAAGAAAGTGGCAAAGAAAAAATGCAAACAAACCTGAAAGGGGAAGCAGCAATAAGAAAAACCTCTTACTGTCTGAGTATAGAGGTGTTGCTGTGACTATGGTAGGTGTGTTTAGAAAGGATGACAGAATTCCTTGTGGCTCTTTGGGTTTAAAAAACTTGCATAGAATTATTTCTGCATCAGTCTTTGCTTTGTCAATTCAGTGTATATCCTCCCCTCCATGCATGATAACTGCTTAAACCCCGTCCATTTCTCGATGTCTACTCAGACTAATCTTTCACCTGAGTACAGAATGGCTAACATTTATTAAGCACTGACTGTGTACCAGACATCTTGCTAGCAGCTATCCTATCAGTCCTCCCAACAACCCTCTGAGGTAAACTTTAACCCCATTTTATCAACAAGGAACCTTGCTGAGGCAGCAATAAACCAATGCCATATAAACTTCTTTGGGAAAGGAATTAGTACAGAAAGAACTTGGAAGTCCACTACAAAAAGATGTTCATGTGTGTAAATGAGCCCAAACTTGTACAGTTAGGAGGATGCACATCCGTGCAAACTGGGCCATGAATGTGCAGTAAATGGGACAGGACCCATACCAATTACCCCACTGCCTCTCCTTTAAAATGGTACCATGCAAACTGGCCACATCTCTGCAGATTTTGAAAGAACCAAACAAAACAACCAGCATGACACGATTCACAACTCAACACAGAATTAAATCTCCTGATGTCCAGGAACTCAGAAAAATATTTCAAAAACTAGCAGTTTCAGAAAATTAAAATATTTGGTCTACAAGTAAAGGTCACTCCACGGTGCTACCTCAAATGTCTTCTCCCATCTCGCTGGCATCGAGAAAATCTGTGTCCTCTGTTGCAACACAGTCTACACTCTAACCCAGGGCCGCCTGATGGTTATCAAACATTTCCATAGTGGTCCAGCCAAAGCTACCTCATGGAAACAAACAAAACTAAGGTAGAAAGAAAAACCACTCTCTAAAGATTTAGCCCTAGGTCGTTAAGTCTTCCCATTTTTCCTTTACATTATGTATTGACGTTATTTCCATCAACATGCTTGTTTTTTTTCCACAGGCATTGCTGACTAGGACCACGGTAAATGAAAAAGATGTTTGTATGATGGACTGCACCATATCCTGGTCCCACCCTTCATGGTTTTCCTTCAGAAGGTTCCCTACTGCCTTAGGAGTACAGTATTTCCAGACCTTAGTGGAGTCAAAACTTTTAATACCTAACACCGAACTCCTACCTTTAAGAAACAATATAAGGAAAGGCCAAGAAGGGCCTGGTCCACGCCAACCAGGGGGAGCTGGCACCTGTGGCTCTGCGCAGGCCTCCACAGTGCACATCTGGGCCTCCGCGCGGGGCACTCTCCGCCCCACCCGCCCCGGGCCTCCACGCGGGGCACACCGGAGACTCCACGCTGGCACGATCACCACACCACGGGACACTCTGCGCCCAGCCCGCCCACGGGCTCCACGCGGGGTCCTTTTGGGGCACCACAGGCCTCGGGCGGTGGGCTCCCCACACATGGCCCTCCTCTCACGGAGCCCGCCATCCTAGAAGGCCTCTCGCGAGCGCGGTCGTGGACTCCTCCGGTGACCGCTGTATGAGGCGCCCGGGACGCCGCGGTTCAGACGCACGCCCTGCCCGGACACTCGGCCTCGGCTTCCGCCGCCCGCCCCCGCCCCCGTCCCCTTGCAGCCCCCGGTCCTCACCCACCAGACCGCCCGTGCAGTCTCCAGCAGCGGCCTCCGGTCCTCCGCCGGCTCCGCCCGCTCCCGACTGCCCGCGGGCCGCGCCGCGCCCCCGCCCCAGACCGGAGCCCCACCCCCTCCCCCGCGGACACGCCGCCGGTTGGCTGGTCTGGAAGCTTGGCATTGAATTCTGATTGGTGAACGGGCCTGGAGTGGGCGGGGAGGCGGAGAGGCCCCTGAGGATTCTAATGCGAATCCTCAGAAAATGGGCTCTCTAAGCCGGACTCTGTCCTGGGCGTGGCTTCGACTGGGGAGCAGGGCCTCGGGCTCGCTGGGCGGGGCCTGGACTCGGTCCTGGGCGGTGCCTGCACTTGGGACTGGGCGGGGCTCCGCCTCTGAGGGCCCGGCGCGGTTCCTCTCCTAGAGGCTCCTTCCGCCACCTTGTGTCATCCTTCTTAAATTCCACCCATTGCACTCCTAGGGCTACCGAGTCCGTAGCCTAAGGGCACCGAGTCAACAGGAGGATGTAATGCGGCGGAGATTCATTTCTCTTGGAGGAGAACAGCGGCCTGATTTCAGCCTTTGAGGACCACTCCTGCTTCCTGATCCCGACCCAAGTAAGGAAATGTTACACCACCGCCCCCTCCCGGCTCGCATACTCCTCCTTCCCGAGGCTAGGTGAATGAACTGCACACCCTTCAAGGCCACGCCCTCCGAGGTGGGTATGGTCGTGGCACCGCGGCTTTACCCGCTAAGGCTGTAGAGGGGATTACTCCAAAAAACGACTGGGGTCGTCTTCGAGGCCACTTCTACAGTGCTCCCAGCTCCTGAGCCATGCTCAATACCTCGTTTCCAAAATGCCGGGCAGTGTCGCTTCGGTTAGGGTCGTCTCAGGTCGCAGGCGCGGCTGAGACCCTCCCTCCTCCTGACCGGCCAAGCTCTCCACAGCTCCCTCTGGGAGTTCCCTCTTAATGGCCCCCAGTGACACTGCCAGGCCCCACATCAGTACCCCCAGCAGCTGCATCCACTGCCCCTGGGATGGCACAAAGCCCCACCAACTCCACCCTACAACAGGTGCATAGGGCCAGGGAGAGAGAGCGAACTGGAGAGCCAAGTTAGAGGGCAGGTGACCCTGTACAGGCTGCAGCTTGCATAGTGCCCATCATAGGGGGCCGAGAGAAGGAACTAGAGATCGGGAGCTTCACTACCCAGTGGGACAGCGGGTGCTGTTCAGACCTCCAGATCAGCCTTACAGTCCAGGTTTTTTTTTGTTTTGTTTTTTTAATGTTTAATTGTAGAGGAACTTTACTTACTGATCTTAGAAATATTCAGTATATATGGTTTCTATTTGTCATTCATTGTACTTCCAGGTATTTAGTAGCTGCTGCCACATTGAATGAGATTTTTATCACTAAAATTTTTTGTAAAAATTTTATTGATTTTAGAGAAACATCAATTTGCTTGCCCACTTATTGCTGCATTCATTGGTTGATTTTTGTATGTACCCTGAGGCTTGTGCCTGCAACTTGGTGTATCAGGAGGATGCTCTAACCAACTGAAATAGCTACCTGGCCAGAACTCTAAGTAAAATTTATTAGTGAGAGGACATCATTGAACTCTTACTAGTGCTCAGTTTTATCAGACATTCTTTCACTTTATGTAGGAGATCAGATCATCTGTAAATAATTCCTTTTCCTGTCTTTATGGCTTTCCTTTGGAACTGGATTGCCAATACAAAATTGTTGAATGCTGATGCTATTGATGCAAGTAATTTTCCTGACTTTAGACACACATTTGAGGGCTTACCGTAGAACCTTTCCCAGAAGACCTTACACCTTTCCCCGGGAAAGGACGAATAATGAGGAATACTACTTTAACCTCTAAACAATAGTGCTTTATTGATGAAAGGTTAGTTTCAATGGATACAAAATGGCTGTATAAAATTTTTTCAAAATACAATTCTATAGGTAAGGAGTATGGCTTAGTAAAATAACAGTTATCTAGTAGCAAAACTATTTCAGTTTGAGCAATGGAAAAAGATTTTAAAGAATAAAGATGTAGGTCCTCCATCCCGCATAACCATTATTAGGGGAAGTCAGCCCCAAATAGTTTTACGTACACAGGCCTTACACAGATCACTTGCAAATGTCCCCCTGCCTCCCTTTAAACAGCTTTTATTAGCAGTTAATAAGTGCCAAAATAACCCAAGTAATTGGCCTTGATGGTCCTCTCAAGTCATGGAACACTTTTTTCTTATTGAAAACTTTACAAAATATGCCTAAACCTAAAGCTTTTGACCCTTCACAATTGTTAACACTGAGGGGCCAAGTTAGTAAGAACACATTTTTTCTGCAGTACACTTTTATAACTATCATATTTTGACCTCATGTTATTTTTTGACCAAAACCCAAAACCCCTCCTCATTCGCAGATTAAGCATTTTCTCTATTTTAACCCCTCCTGTTATAACAAAATGAAAATAGTGAACCAGCACCTGCTCCCTCCAGGTCTCCTTTCATCTGTCACTTTCTTTTTCAATTTCAGTAGAAATGTTGAATAAAAGCAGGCCTTGGAACATCAGCACCCTGAGAGTGCAGACTGTGAGTGCTACTGTGAAAGACGAAGACATGACAGGAGGGAATGGAAAGGCCAAGGCCAGAGCACAGAAAACCCACCAGGAACGGCTTTGACTGGCAGCACCTGCAAACAGTCCATGGTGTAGTTTTGAAGTGTTTTTCATTCTTACATGATACATGGAGAAATTTGTATACATAACAAAGGAAATGACCATGGCTAAAAATAGGCAATACAGTCCATACATTAAAAAAAAAAAAAAAAAAAAAAAAAAAAAGTACTACTTTGATTTGCCTCTTTTCAGAAAACCATTCAAAAAAGAATTAAAGGAAAGCCGAATCTGGGTTTGGCACCCACCTACCCACCAAAGAATCCCAATTTTCACTCCTGAACCAGATCTTCTACTCCTTTAGTTACAGAAATATATTAAAGTGCAGTATAAAAATGCAAAAGTCAGTTTTTGAACAGATCAACTGCTAATTTTCCTTAAAAAGTTACTTTTTAACTTAGTGGAGTAAAAATAGTTTGACTCTCATTGTGTTGATCAGAATCTTAGTTGCAATATGAACTGGAGCTCATGGATACTCTGATTTTTTCCATAGCAGAGTATAACCAGTATTAGTGGAAAACACTATAAAAAGTGGCTGTAACAAGTTCTCCCTCCCCAATGGTTTTAAAAAAATGACCTAGAATAAGAATTTTAGAAATTCAGAAATTTCTAAAATTTATCCCTAAAAGCTGGTTTTTAAAAGAAAGCTATTTAAGTATAAGCATATATCTCATTTGATAATTATTTTTCATTTGGTAAACAGATAAATGTGCAGATGAATTAATGGTGTTATATTGTAGCAGCAAAAATGGTCTTGGGTGTTGTGATCAAACAGAAAGGAAGGCAGGGAAGAATTCCCACATGATGCTCCAGGTTAAGTAAATGGCAGGGTACCTTCATGTCATTAGATCCATATCTCTACCACTCAGAACATTTGGGATAAATAACAAATCAGGAGTGCTCCTCCATGACTAGTTGGTTAGGCCAGTCAAATCATTTTAACGTACATGCCGACTGATCCCTGTAAATGAATTCTAACATTAGTGGTTTGTTAAGGTGGAAGAAAATGAAAATGCAAAGTTCACTCACAAAAGATAAAGTCTACCCTTTAGTAATGAATATAAATGTTAAAAGTACTTCATACAAAAGAACACATCAAAAATTTTTTTAAAAATTAAATTCTTGGGCCACAGGCACCCTAAAGTATGGATGCTCACTTCTCCAACAATTTCTTGAAAACACAGAGCTGTATTTCTCATTTGGAATGCTTTCTTTATCTTGCAAAAAGTTTTCTGAAAAAAGAAAACAACACATTTAAATGGGAGGGATGCAATGCTGGCTGCTTTGACCATTAATAGCATGCTTTTTCTGTTAACAGTGTGCAGAAAGCAGTTGGGCTCATTTTTGCTAATGACAAGAGTTAGCAAAATCAAAATATCATTTATGAGGCTCCAGGAAATTAGGAGGATTGCAAAATTGAAAAGTATACAAAAATATAAATCAATTTTATGTACCTAAAGTAGAATTTCCCTAATTCCATAATTAAAGTTTTAAAAAGAGCAGCAGTAAGGTCAGAGGAACCCAACAAATATCTACTGCCCCCTCCCACCTCAATAGAGGCCCCCCCCCCCCAACCCCCGAGTCCTTGCTTCTTTCCACTTTACCCTCAAGTAGCCAGTGGGTGCCAACTTGCACATGCAGATCAGCCTCTGAAGTCACTAGTTATATGACTGAAGACAAATAATTTTAAATGCTCGCACAGTGGCAATGTGCTTATTGGCAAAGTGTGAACTCTCATATATCCTGGGGCTGTGCTAAGGTTTCGACCAACTCTGACCCAGGTGGGGTTACATGGTCAGCCTGTACTTGAGTGCTTTTTGGTGAATATATTTCATAACTAAAACCCTTCCCAATAAAACACATGAGGGCAGGAGCTTTGTTTGGTGACCAATGCCCTGGAGTTATGCTCCAGGTCCTTCCTTTATCACCATCTGTCTGTCATAAAGGACTCTTGCCTTTTATCTCATTAATTCTGCCATGTGTCAGCTAAGCCCAAGTCATTCCTGTCGTTACATCACTACCTGTTTTCATCAACAAACCTCATGCTTCTACAGTGAGGTCCCTAATGTGCAGTGCAGATGCTCTCCCTGCCGTCAAGCTTCTCCTCAGACCTGAGCCAGCTCAGACTGTCCAGAGCCAGTCCTCTTTCTTCTGAGGACAGGGATTGCCTCTACCTAACTGCATGTGACTACTTCCTCCTTTCTCTTGAGATGATGCAACAGCCACTAAATAGCTCTGCAATGCTCACCTATCCAGAGAACACAGATCTGGGTCTCCAGTCTGTAGAGTCCCTTCAAGCAGAGAGGCCAGATACCTACTGAATCACTCAGTATTACCATGGGTTGGAGCAGAGCTGTGGTGAGGAACAGGGAGGACAGCAACCTCTATCAGGAGAACCCTACCCACCAGGAATAATTCACCTGTTTTACCAGCTTTGCTTTGGGTCTGTATAAGCTATTTAACAATTAAAATTCTCTTTGAAGAGATGTTTCCAGCTTTAATTAACTACTAATCTTAACTAATAAAAGTTACTTTAATAGTCTTTCTTGTATTGTTAATCATATTTATAAGCTCTGAAAATATGAAAAATCCTTCCTAGACAGGAGTGGAAGAGAAGCTTCATTTTTTAGGAGCAACCCTCTCCCTTTGAATACAGAGCTTCCGAATGTCAACTCTTAGTAAAACCTGAGGAGGCAGCGGCACCTGCCCTCATGTTTGGGCTGAGTCAGTAAGAAAGCTGCTCTTGCGCTCATACCTCACACGTGGTGCCCGTGAACTGTGCCGTCACCTTCTCCGCCCTGCATCTGCAGCTGCATCTGTGCCTGCATCCTGGCGATCATCTCCTGCATGCGGCGGAGCTGTGGGCACAAGACAGGGACACATCAGAGTGTGTAGGGTCTGTTAGCCCTTATTCTTTATGGAGGTCCTCGGAGGCCTAATATTAACTTCTAAGCTTACCCAACACAAGACAAAGAATTAACAAGCCAGTATAATGAGCAACAACTCAATAGAAAACTGAGCAAGTGGTAAGAATACACAATTCAAGTATAAAAAAAGAAATGAATAAACAAAATAAAGACGATGAGAGATTTTTTAAACCTAAAAGGTGGGAAAGAGACTGGGGCTACCCAGTGGAGAATGTGAGCCCAGGCCATGCGACAGCCCTGTCACTCCCCTGGAGAATATGCATCCTCTGCTATCTCTATCCATTCTACCACTGTGGTTTCTACATGTTAAAAAGACCTCAAGGTTTACAAGAATTATAAATTATTTACCTAAGTTTTCTTCAGGTAACTTTTTAGTTCTTTTTCTTAAAAAAATATTTTAATTGATTTTTTTAGAGAGGAAGGAAGAGGGAGAGAAAGAAACATTAATGTAAGAGTGAAGCATAGACTCGCTGCCTCATGCACACTCCTTACTGGGGAATGAAGCCACAACCTGGGCATGGGCCCTGATGGAGAATTGAACAGGCAACCTTTCCGTGAGCAGGATGCCACCCAATCAATTGAGCCACATTGGCCAGGGCTTGGTTATGTTTTTAACATTTAAATATTTGCTCTTATTGAATTTATTTGGCCAAAGAAGTGAGTCTTATTTTTGTTTCCAAACGACTGCCCTGTTCTGGGATTACTTACTAAGTATGTCTGGATTCCACAATTCAACAGACCTCAAAGCCAGCTTTCTAAGAGACATTTCCATCCTTCTGACATAGTTCCTGACATGTACTGAATCAGCCTCCCACAACTGGACCAACTTCTCAGGGTGACCACTGTTCTCTGACTTCTCTATAACCACCAAAGCCAACCTCTTCTCATTAGTCTATTTCCAACAGCGTCCTTTATTTCCCCTGCTTAGTCTTCAAAAAAAACATTACATTATCTTATCAACCTCTTCCCTCAAAGTCTGCTGGGATTGCATTAAATTTAGAGAAAACTGTGATCTTTGTATTAAGCATCCTAAAAAGTTGGGTCTTTATTAAAATTTTGAAAATTGTCAGTAGTTTTCTGGTTTCTTTCCCCATGTAAGTCCTACATATTTATTCATAAATTTGTTAATGATTGTGAATAGCAGTTTTTCATTATATTTTCTAATCAGTTATTACCTATGTATAGGAAAGCTGATTTATGAACATATTACAAAAATCAGTTATGTTAATAAATTCTCACTGGTCACAAGCTTTTTCACTAAATTTCAATTAGAGATTAAACGAGATAATACATGTGAAACAATAGATTTATTATTATATGTAGATGTGTATATGAAATACATTAGATACATGAAATATATTCCTTCTTAAAAATCAGGGAAGCTATAAAAAGCTAATTATAAATAGTATTCTTGATATAAACAACTTTAGATTTAAAATACTTTCCTACTTACCTCAGCTTCTTTTTCCAGCAAGATCTGATCTTTATTCATGTCCTCATTTTCCACCTTTCTAAGAGTTGAAAAAAATTACAATTACAATACAGCAACAAATATAAGTTGGTTATTTCTGATGACAGATAACCAAAGTAACATTTCACTTTATATTTCTTAGACATGTATTTACTTAAAATTACATATATCTATCATTTTTCTAATTAATGGCCTGAATAAATGAGGGTGAAAAAAAACACCATGAAATGGAAAACACAAGAGATACTCTAAGCTGGGATGATGATACTTCCATCATAATCTACTCAAAATACAGCAGCTACTTTCTGAAGAATACTTTTTTGAGTTACTCTTTATGAACACAGACTATGTCCATCACACTGAAAATAAGGAACAGGCTCTGAGGTCTTGGCAGAGAGGGCCATTATAGGGGCCCCAGCTCATGAAGACACAGCTACTAACATGCCGAGGCTGTTAGTACTTATAGAAAACATGCAATTCAAAAACAACCATTGCCTGGTTGTCTGCTCATCAATGGGACCTCCTTGCTGCTTCTACCTTCCTTAATGTCTAATCCCCACATTAATAAAACAATAAGTAGACTTTAATGTACACTTTGTAAATATGCACATACTCAACAAATTTTAAAAATGTGAATATTTTAGTGAACTACAATACAGAAAATTATCTTAATGAATGCTATACATTATTTACTTATTTATTAAGCTCTATGCATAGATGTGGTTTTATCAGACATGAATCAGGTCTCATTAAAAAACCCATGGGAATAGTAAACAGCTGAGTGAGGGCAGCCATGTGTGCTATTGAGGAGTAGACCTGCTGCTCCCACCTTAACTCTTGGGGTGCTGCACTTTCTTGGGGTGAGACTGTCCTCATTTACAGACAGACACTTTTGAGAAAGCACCCACCACATGCATATGGCCTTTCCATTTAAAGCTGTCCTGTCTGTGCAGATGATTAAAGCTGCTTTTAACAGGCTAAAAAGGGTGCAATTTGATTAAATTAGCAACAAGTTGCTTATAGCCGAAACCAGTTTGGCTCAGTGGTAGAGCGTCGGTCTGTGGACTGAAGGGTCCCGGGTTCGATTCCGGTCGAGGGCATGTACCTGGGTTGCCAGCACATCCCCGGTGGGGGGTGTGCAAGAGGCAGCTGGTTGATGTTTCTCTCTCATCGACGTTTCTAGCTCACTATCTCTCTCCCTTCCTCTCTGTAAAAAAATCAATAAAATATATATATTAAAAAAAAAAGTTGCTTATAATAGCTTTTGAGTAGAAAACCAAACCATGCTGCTTTGAGGTCAAGGAAGAAGAGCTGGACACATACAGGATAGTGTGACTTGGAGTGACAAACATGGACAGAGAGGTAGTCTCACCTGCCACCTCTTTTGAGCCTCTCGGAACGAAAGTTCTCATAGTGAAGGTCCTGGGTCACCTCCTGGAGGTCCTGCATGTGAGTGCTGAAAGAGAAAAGAATGCACCAAGCTGGACTCCATGCATGTGCCATTTGCATGAAGAAAACAACGAATATGGACACAAAAGAACCCACAAAGTAAAACTCCACTTACTACCTGGCAAAATGTACACAAAATTAAAGGAATATGGGGATAAGGCTATGAAAACGTCTACAGAGGTGTATCCTTCCTTGCTACCGCAGTAAATGAACATCACACCCACCCCGCAGGGCCAGGTTAAGAGTCCCTCCATAGGGCCTCTGCCACAGGTATGGCCAAATTCTGCATGAGACTCTCATTCCTGGACAGGGCCAGATGCATAGACATCAATTTGTTTTTTTTGTTTTTTTGTTTTTTAGGTAAACAGTGTCTGAAACAGAACACACTTTCTGCAAGTACTTATAGACAACATGCAATTCAAATATTCATGACTTCATAAACTTAAAATGTGTATCAGATAGAGTTAATTAGCTTAAGCTATGGAGAAGAACACAAAATGAAGTATTGACATACTGGATAAAATAGAAACAGCACTTTGAATCATCTAATCACTATATAGAACATTCTTGGGTTTCTGGCTGAGTTTTTTCCAGTATGTAAGAACTCAAGAGTCGAGAGATTATATTCCTGTTACTCAGGATCCAGGGAATGGACTGAGTAATGGGATGGCCCATTTTCCCTCTTTCTGGATACACATAACTGACACCAAAGTTCCACACCCTCCACCTCTGACAGGATCACGACAGTTAAAAACCCATCCCTGAAGGAGCCGGGTGCAGTTTAAATGACTGAAGTATGTTTAATAGAGCTTGAATGGTAAATTTAATGGTATTTTTTAAAGTGATTTTAATTCACCTAAACTGCTAACACAAGTGAGACATATGTGGCATGTAGAGCAGTTTTCATTAGTTAAGGTTTTCTACATCAGCCATTGTTTGAACTCTTCTGATTAAAGAGGTATTAGATTTTGGCAATACTCTTTCTTTCAGCCTCTTCATTCAAGAGCAACAGTATTACATGTACTTTGTTAAATGTGGAATTTATTTTTTAGGGGAAACGGTCTGTTTTTGTAGTCAGGGCTGTCCTAGTTGCTAGGACTCAATAGAGGAATAGAATGGGGCAACCCTCAGAAAGCCTGAGGCTGACCAGCAGTGGCAGCATACCCCAGTTGGCCCCTAAGGCAGATCCAAACATGTCTTCTCTGGAGCAGGAGGTGACCCTTGCTGGGTATGGCCACCCACACATTAGTCTACTTTTAGCGTCAAAAGAGACCCTAGAAGTCAATGAGAAAGGAGTACTGAGCTACAGGTCACAGGTGGGAGGGCTAGTTCAGATCATCCCAGAAAGCCTGCAGGTGGGGGCCTTCTGTTCCATTAGGCACAATGGAAGTCCCATGCTCATCTCACACTCTCTGTGCCGGGCTCTGCCAACTGTAGTGCATGACTGTCTTACATGAGCATTGTCCTCAGCTTCAGAAAGTCATTGTGTTCTGGGTTCTCCACCTCCACGACACCCCACGGATAGAGGCGGCCTCGGACCTTCTTGCCTTTGGCTTCTATCAGCTGATTGGATCCAACCACAGAGAACGGGATACTGGCCTAGAAAGAGACATACAGGGTTGACAGGCTCCACACAGGGACTGCCACCTTCATCGCAAACACACGAGCATCAACAGAGGGGGCACTTTGCTGCTCCCACAGGATTACTTGGAAAGCTTATGGTGCACATTTTACTTGGAAGTGGCAGGCATCTTCCATAGGACGAACTGCACGAACAAATTAAACCTACAATTAAGATTCCTAAGCCTTACAGCAACAGTTAGGTCACAATACCCAGACAACTTCTCTAAGTCAAGCTCCAGAATCTGGTTCTCCATCAACTCCTCCCATTTGAATGCAGACAGCAGGAAACAGGAGTTAGTCATGTTGTGCACCTGGAATTCTTACCTTGAGAAGTCTGGTCTGCTCTTTAAAATCTTCATCTTCATCTGATTCTGCATCAGGTAAGTGATAAATTTTGATGTTATGTTCTTCAATTTCATCCAGAATCTGAATAACAAAATCAGAAGCAATTTTAACGAGGAGGGCTGGAGCTCTGCTTACTCTCACACCAAGACTTGGGCATTATAGATGGAAAAAGGGGTTCTATGGAAAGTAAGCTCATTGGGCAAGTAATGGTAGATGGTCACACCCCAGGCATACAACTTCCTCAGTAAAAGGTTTATCTTCAACTTAAATTAGCTCTGTCCATTGTTCCTAGGTGAACACACCTTTGAAATGTTCCACACCCCCCCCCCCCAAATTAAAGGGGCTAAGAAGAGGGTAGATGGACACCATAACATAAAACAAAGGAGGGTGGAGAGGTTTGAGAGGTTCCTTTAGATCAGGGAGGAGTAAAGAAACCAGACAAAGAGAAGGGGTTAAAAAGGACCAAGATAAAAGAGATTAGTGCACCAAGTATTTCAATTCATTTCAGAGTTTGAAATCAAGCCCTAAATGTTTTGAGTATAAGATGAGATGGGCATTAAGCAAGCTTCCCTGGGTATGTTTTTCCCCTATTTCTCTGAATTGGAATGATGATGATGAAGTTCCCTTAGATGGAAATTGCTAAAACACTGACTATAACATAAAAATGCCTAAGTTTTCAGAGGTTCCTCCAAGGATCTGAATGTTTCCTAAAATATTGGCAGCCATCTGAAAGAGTAAAGAATACAGTTGAGAAATATGAGTACATACAATTTAGGAACTCTGCTATGGAAAAGATAGCCAGAAAAATGTGAACACACGAAACTCAGACTCTGACATAACAGTCTAAAAACAAGAGTATCTGTAACTCAATGAAAGGAGAGGCAAGTCTCTAAAAACCTAAGAGAATGCCAAGGGCATTGAGCACCAGCAACCAGGAGGAAACACATGACAAAAGTTGGTGACACATCAGGAGTGTTGGGGAGAAAAGAGTGTGCTTGAATGCTGCTTTGGGAACAAGCTTATTTTGAGGGAAATTTAGCCATCTTTCAATTACTTAAATATGCATTAATTTCCTTTTCAAGAATTTGTCTGACTTTACAACTGTTCAACACATAAACATATCTGAGTGTCTAACACATGCCAAGTCCTGTTCCAAACTTTTGGAATACACAAGCAAGCAAAGATCCCAATGTCAGGGACTAGGGGGTGGGGGTGGGAAGACCCAGAAACATACTGAAGAACACTATGCATGCCTTAAGATAAGGGTGAGAGGTGTGCTTTCTGCATAGATTGGGAGGTCTTAGAAAGAAAAGTGGCAGAAGCATAGCTATGACTAATCTGTAAATAATCCTATTCTGTAAAAACAAAAAGAGATCATGTTCTAGAAGGATAGATACCTGTTAACAGTGGTTATTTTTGAGGATAATTAAAGGAACTCTTATTTGTAGAATATAGCATATGAGCTTGGACTTCTCAATAATCATACAAACAGGTATGCAATTTAAAATAGGTAACTGAAGTTTTATGGGAGAACAGAGACCACACCCACCTCAGGAGCTGGAGAACCGCTGTGCAACCTCCACAGCTACTAGGTGTACCAGTTAATAATTCAGATTTTGTAATAAAAGAAAACACGATAATTTCAAGAGAAACATCAAGTGTCTTATTCAAAGTAATGTCCACCGCTAGCTACACATTTCCCACATCTTTCAGGTAATTTGTGGATATCATCCCAATAGAAATTTTCTTGTTTTGAGGCAAACCATTCAGAGACCCAATTTTCCACTTCTTCATACGTTTTGAAGTGCTGCTCAGAAAGTATGTGTGCCATCGATCCGAACAAGTGGTAATCTGAAGGGGCAAGGTCTGGTGAATACAGCGGGTGGATTAAGATTTCCCAGGCAAGATCTTTTAATGTGTCTTTAGCTGGTTTTGAAGTGTGTGATGGTGCATTATCATGAAGCAAAATTACTTTGCCATGTCTTCTGGCCCATTCTGATTGTTGTATGATCAAAGCATGGTTCAAATTGATTATTTGATGTCGGTAGTGGTTTCACCTGATTTTAGAAGCTCATAATACACCACACTTTCCTGATCCCACTAAACACAGAGCATTGTCTTCTTTCCAAAGCGATTTGGCCTTGCAGGCGATATTGATGGTTGACCTGGATCATCAATCCATGCTTTTGTGCATGTGGGATTTTCAAAATAAATCCACTTTTCATCACCAGTCACAATTCGATGCAAAAAAAGACTTTTTTTCCTGCCAGTGAAGCAACATTTTACTGATAACTTTTTGGTTTTCTATTTGTCTTTTGTTCAGTTGATGTGGCACCCATTTTTCCTTCCTTTAAAATCTTTCCCATTGCGCTGAAACCAGTTTGGCTCAGTCGATAGAGCTTTGGCCTGCGGACTGAAGGGTCCCAGGTTCGATTCAGGTCAAGGAAATGTTAAAAAAAAAAATATTTCCCATTGCTTGTAAAAGATAGGAAATTGTTTGCTGAGCAACATTTAATCTTTCTGCAAGTTGTTTTTGAGTTTGACACACATCTTCATCCAATAATGCTTGTAATTGTTGGTCTTCAAACTTTTTTGGTTGACCTGAATGTTGTCTTTCACATAGAAATCATCACGTTTAACACATTTAAACCAGTGTTCACAAGTATCTTGAGATGGAACATGTTCACCATAAGCTTCTCGAAGTATACGATAACTTTCAGCAGCACTTTTCTTCAAAATAATGAATTAAAACTTCCCGCAAATGCTCTTTTTTGGCACGAAATTCGACATGTTTAAGTGTAAAAATATCTACTGGTGTTAACACCTTCAGAAAATTTGACATACGAAGTTCTGATGCTTGTTATCAATATAACAAAATAGCATACATATCAAATCGCATATATATATAAACATGTGTAACTCCATCCATTGAAAAAAAATCTGCATTATTAACTGGTACACCTAGTAAATGCAGGCCTCTCAGCCTTCTGAAAGCAGACTATCATCATTAAGATAAGGGTGAGAGGTATACATTCCCAGAAAAATGTGGGGGTAAGAGTGTTTAGATGGAACAGAGAGCATCAGGGAGATCCTCCAACCCCAATTCACGTTGTTACTGTTCACGAAATGTGGCTGCACATTAGTGATCTTCTTGGCACTGAGGGGAAGTTCACCTAAGATGAATTATAAGGAATAGTAGTAATTCGATACCTTTGTGAAGGAAAAATACTAAAAAATTAGAAGTATTAGGTGTTGCTTAAAACAGTCACTCACCCTTTTCTTCAAACGCTCCCGTTCCTTTAGAGTGAGGGTATCAGCTTTTGCAATGACAGGCACAATATTGACCTTGTTGTGTATCGCCTTCATAAATGCGACATCTAAGGGCTTAAGTCCGTGTCCAAAGGGCGAGATGAAATAGAAGCAGCAGTGTACCCTGTTGTCCACAATGTGCCGCCGGTTGAGGCCACTCTCGTCATGTAGGTACCGTTCGAACTGCTCGTCGATATAGGAGATGATGGTCTTGAAGCTGAGACACACACAATGAGGATCAAGGGTACAAAAGACAGTAGATGAATGAATAAAAAAAACTGTGGTACATTTATACCATGGAATACTATGCAGTAGTAAAAACGAAGAATCTCTTATCCTTTGAGAAAGCATGGAGGGACCTGGAGATTATCATGGTAAGTGAAATATGTCAGAGAAAGACAAATATCACATGATTGTACTCATATGTGAATCTATAATATATAACAAAATAAACTGATGAATGGAGTGGATTCAGAGACATGGAAGTATGGAACAGAGTGTGGAATCTCAGAGTAAGGTGGGGGAAGTGGGTGGGTGGGAGGTAATCAACCAAAGACCTTGTATGCATATATGCATAACCCATGGACACAGACAATAGAATGCTGAAGGCTTGGGGGCAGTGAGGGGAGGAGCCAGTCCCCTCCATGCTTCCTGTTTTAGAGGGGGTCAATAGAGGAAAAAAGGGACACATATAATATTTTCAGTAATAAAGAATTATTAAAAAAAATAAATATAGCAAAACAGGTGTGAATATATGTACAGCCCTCAACACTTTCGGTTTGCCCTGTGGGGTGCGTACCAATCCCTGCAGTTGATGGCATCACCATAGCCGGGTGTGTCCACCACTGTCAGACGAAGCTTGACCCCTCGCTCTTCAATCTCAACAGTCGAAGCCTCAATTTGGACTGTTCTTTCAATTTTCTCTAGAAAAGAAAGAAACTTAGTAAGACAATGTGCCTTAACATTGAGCCAGTTTGCAAAGAGAAGAAATTATCTATTAGTTACTTATTATCAAATGACCTAAAAGCCACAACCTCTCTTTGAGGAAGGTTTTCAGAAGGTAATGTGAGTATTATGTAAAAATGATTCCAGTGTAAGCAAGGGAAGTGTTAAAGGGCTGCCTGGAAAGGTAAAAATGTGAGCATTGAAAATTTTAATTTCTTTTCCTGGAACAAAGAAAACAATTTATGAATTCCTTTAAAATTGGATTCAGTGACAGGGCTATATGTCTCCATTGTGGTAGCTCAGGTCCTAGGACCTATCTGTGCTTAATCCATTCACTTAATCAGCGTTCACAGAAACCAGTTTCCTGCACTGGGACACTCAGAACCCCCAACCCCCAGAGTAGTCTACTAATTAGTTACAAAGCTTTTTCCATGAGGTAACACTGTCACTTGATCCTCCCATCATATAGAAAACATAGGCAAGAACTATTTGTGACACTTTATAGACTTTAGAGACAACACATTAGGAGAGGATAGATCCATGGATATACTGTCAGTCTACAATCTGAATCCAAGGACACAGGTGCAGCACACTCTTTCCTACCTAAATGATATTTTCCTTGTATTTACAGCAAACAAAAGCAAAAATGCAAGGCTCAGGCATAAAATATTAATTATGCCATCTTAAACAACTTTCATGGCAAATTACACTTAGGAGTGTATGAATTTTTGTACCTGCAGCTCCAGGTATGATTCTTTCTGGGTAAAGATCCGTCAAGAACAGGCTGTTTATAAGAGTCGATTTTCCTAGTCCCGATTCACCTTTAAACAAAAAGGAGGACACCATCATGATATTATCAGGATGACCATCTGAGAGTTTATGCTAGGCCTACCACTGGGCTAAAAAACATCATTTTCTGTACTCCGTACGACAACTATGAATTTGCTAGAACTCTCCCAATTTACTAATGGAGAGATGGATGCTCACAGGTCAGATACCCACCCAGAGCAGGGCCTCGATTTGAATCCAGTGTGTGGAGCTCCAGAATTCAGACAGTTTAAGATCAGAAATGTGATCTCGCCTCTTAACAAATATGTGAATGAATTTTAGAAGGGGTCTTTATATTTTAATAGAATGCAAAGTAGTTTTTCAAACATGAGCTTGCCAATTGTTTAATGTGTCACGTTTTCAGAAAACTGAACGTATCTCCTCATCAATGCCTACAGCACTCTACTCCTAAATTGTTGGTACAGGACAGAAACAGGAGACCCCTGTGTACTTTGACTTGCTGCAATCCCCCACCCCCCACAAGGAGGGAGCCAGTCCCTGCCCTGCTTCCTGTTTTAAACACCTCCATGTCCCCAAATTGGCAATTGCTATGTCAAGGTAACTTCCACACACATACTGTTGAATGTATTATATTTAGTTTACAAAATGGCTCGTTTGCATCTTTTAGAATATGCAGCATCAGGCACAAGGTGGCGCTACAACATGAGAGAAAAGTGGCACATGCTTTTGCAATTCCACTGAGATCCCATCAGGCAAACTATCAGAGGCTTCAGATTTTAATCTGAGGTTTTTGGGTTTTTAACCCTTACCTAAGGATGTTTTTATTAATTTTAGAGAGAGGAAAGGGGGAAGGGGGAGATAAAGAAACTGATCAGTTGTCTCCTGTACATGCCCTGACCTAGGATCGAACCTGTAACCTTATGGAATATTACAGGATGACGCCCCAAACAATTGTGAGCCACCTGCCAGGGTTGAGATTTTATTTTCTAAACTCAGGCTAATCCGTCCCCGCGCCCTCAAAAAAAAACAAAACCAAAAAAACAAAAAACAAAAAAAACATACAAAACACACACAAAAAAAAACTTAGGCCAAGCCAGGAACGGTAGGAAGTAACATTAAAATATATATTGATTCCAGAGAAGAAGGGAGAGGGAGAGAAACATCAATGATAAGAATCATCGATTGGCTGCCTCCTGCACATCCCCTACTGGGGATTGAGCTCGCAGCCTGGGCATATGCTCTTGGCCAGAATTGAACCTGGGACCCTTCAGTCTGCAGGCCGACGCTCTATCCACTGCGCCAAACTGGCCAGGGCAGGAAATAATACTCTTAACCTAGGCAAGTTTTTATTCACATTTACTTTAAAAAAAAAAAAAAGTTTATTGATTTTTTACAGAGAGGAAGGGAGGAGAGTTAGACACATCAATGAGAGAGATACATCGATCAGCTGGGTCCTGCACACCTCCCGCAACCAAGGTACATGCCCTTGACTGGAATCGAACCTGGGACCTTTCAGTCCGCAGGCTGACACTATCCACTGAGCCAAACCAGTTTTGGCCACATTTCCTTTTGACTTTAACTAACAAGATACTGCTTCCTCAGTGTGTAACAAGGGCCTTTCTCGAAGGCCTCTCAAGGGCAGAATTGTAAGGCTGGGTTTTCTGTCCCTTCAAACAACTCCCGTCACATGCAGAAATCCCAAACCTACAATTAGGTTAGCTTATTTTTGTTTACGCCAGGTTTCATTTTCTCAGTGATCACTCTGACACTTTTGTGATTTTGGTCACACTAAGCATAATATTAACTTTTGATTTGGCAAGAGCCTTTATAATTTTAATCTTGCTTTTCTTATAAATTGAGCCACCATCCCACAAAATTGTGGAAGACTAAGAACTTGATGTAAGTTATCACTAGCAGTCACCACTTAAGGAAACTCTTCAGCAGCATGATCATCATGTTCTCTCATGGATGATCTTGATATCTATAAACAACTTATGAGTTCAAATTCCTTGCAGATATTTTTTCCATTGACTGTTTTTAGAAAGTGGGAAGGAAAAAGGGAGGAGAAAGAGAAACATATCTATGAGAGAGAGATACATCCATCAGTTGCCTCCCACATTTGCTCCAACTAGGGCCAGGGGTGGAAACTGCAACCCAGGTTCATGCCCTTGATTGAGAATGGAATCCACAATTCTTTGGTGTGCAGGCTGATGCTCTAACCACTGAGCACTGGCCAGAGCTGTCTCACATATTATTATTTTTTTAAAAAAATATATCTTATTGATTTTTTACAGAGGAAGGGAGAGGGAGAGTTAGAAACATCGATGAGAGAGAAACATCGACCAGCTGTCTCTTGCACACCCCCTATCGGGGATGTGCCCGCAACCAATGTATACGCCCTTGACCAGAATCGAACCTGGGACCTTTCAGTCCACAGACTGACGCTCTACTACTGAGCAAAACCGGTTTCGGCTCACCTATTATTTTTCCTTCTTTCTTTTGGATTGAGCACTTTTTTTTTTTTTTTAATTGATTTATAGAGAGGGAGAGATAGAAACATCAATGGTAAGAGAATCATTGATTGGCTGCCTCCTGCACGCCCCCTACTGGGGATTGAGCCCGTAACCCAGGCATATGCCCTTGCCTGGAATGGAACCTGTGATCAATCTGCAGGCCGACACTCTATCCATTGAGCCATGCTGGCTAGGGCAGATTTAGCACTTTTTAATAGTGTATTTCATTGAAGCTATTAGCTTTTGCCAAATCTTTTTCTTTGGCCACTCTGTAGCTTGCAAAAATGTACTTTAACTTTGGTCTTCCTTTAAGAAGTATGTTGTCACTTAACATATATCATGAGACGTTTACTCCAGCACCTGTCTAGTTACCCTCCTGTCTTTGTACTATCCATATTCCTATTATTTCCATGTGGTATACAATATTTTTGTTTTAAAGTCAGTTATCTTTAAAACATGTTTTTTATACTGACAACACATTCGTCATTTCCAATGCTCCCCGTCAACCTGCAGAACCTCATTTAAAGTTTCCTATGATGCAAGGTCTGATAGCCATCAAGTCTCTCAGCTTATTTATCTGAAAATGTCTCTTTCATCTTTTTTGTTTGTTTGTTTTGTTCTCATTTTAAAGGTTATTTTAGGTGAATACTTCTAGGTTGGCGGTTTTGCTTCTTTAGTATTTTAAGCTGTTAGGCCACATGGCTTACATTTTTCCTGAGAAGTCAGTTATCTTCTTACCTTTGATCCTTTATATGCAACATTTTCCTTTTCCCTTCCTGGCTACTTTTAAGATGATTTCCCACCCTGGCTGGATTTGCTCAGTGGTTAGAGTGTCAGCCTGCGGACTAGTATTGTGGATTCGATTCCTAGACAAGGGCACACACATACCTTGGGTGTAGGTTCTCCAGCCCCAGAAGAGGCATGTGTGGGAGGCTGCCAATTGATTTATCTCTCTCAAGGTGATGTTTTTCTCTCTAGAAATCAATGAATACCCTTGTGTGAAGATTAAAATTTAAAAAAAAAAAAAGATGTTTTCCTGTTTTAGAGGGGTCTTCACCTGTCTGCTGTTCTTGATATTTACTCTGCACAGTGTTGATTTTAGTATGGATGCTCTTGACTGCCCTATTAAAATTTTTTTTAAAAAAAATTATTTTTATTCATTTCAGAGTGAGGGGAAGAGAGAAAAATAGAAACATCAATGATGAGAGGGAATCATTAATCAAGCCTGCAATCCAGGCATGTGCCTTGACTGGGAATTGAAATGTGACTCCTGGTTCATAGGACAATGCTCAACCACTAAGCCATGTCAGCTGGGTTCGACTGCCCTTTAAAAAAAAAAAAAAATATATATATATATATATATATTTTATTGATTTTTTACAGAGAGAAAGGGAGAGAGACAGAGAGCTAGAAACGTCAATGAGAGAGAAACATCGACCAGCTGCCTCCTGCATACCCCTACCGGGGATGTGCCCGCAACCAAGGTACATGCCCTTGACCGGAATCGAACCTGGGACCTTTCAGTCCGCAGACCGATGCTCTACCACTGAGCTAAACCAGTTTCGGCTCGACTGCCCTTTTTTTATTCTGTAGTCTATGATTTATTGTTGGCCCATCAGAAATTTTTCATCTGAGATATTGCAGGTTTTTTTACTCTAAAAGTTCCATTTGGTTAATTTTTGTTTTATTTACCTCATTACTTTCATGTTTTCCTTCAAGTACTGTAGCATATTTAAAATACTTTAGTTCTGTCGTGGCTCAGTGGATAAGTGTGTCAGCCTGTGGACTGAAGGGTCCTGGATTCGATTCTGGCCAAGTGCACATGCCTGGGTTGTGGGCTGGATCCCGGATGGGAGGCATGAAGGAGGCAGCTGATCAATGATTCTATATCATCGATGTTTCTGTCTATCTCTTTCTCTTCCTTCCTCTCTGAAATCAACAAAAATATATTAAAAAATAAAAATGAATAAAAACACTTAAGTACTTGTCTGCCCACTCTAGCATCTCTGTCATTTCCGGATCTATTTCTTTTGCCTGATATCTCTCATTATGTGCCATATTTTCTTGCTTCTTTGCATATCCAATAATTTTCTAATGGATGCTAGATATTGTGAATTTTACACTGAAATTACTGAATTTTTATGTCCTTCTTTAATGAGTAAGTCTTATCCCAGAAAGTAGTCAATTGGTTCTTTCAAGTCTTGTTTAAAAGCTTTGTTAGGGAGTGTTTAAAACAGCTTTTCTGTCTGGTTTAACCCAACTCCCAAGTACTTTCTAGAATTTCTACGAATGCCCTAGATGTTTAGTGATGTCCCCTCTGGTTGGCTGAAATTTCAATGTCTCCCAACCCCATTTCGGCTTTCCAACTCCATGTGGTCTCCAGTTCAGCTCACTCCCTTTGTGGTTACATTTTGCCTAGCCTTGTGGAATTTCAGTGTCAGCCAGTGTCCAAGGGTACCCCATGAAGATTTCTGAAGGCCTAGCTGTCTTTGGAACTCTGCTGTGCTAACTCAGGATCCAAGTACTCAGGTTCACTTAATGGTGATCAGTCCTTCAGCTCTGAGACGCTTGTGCTCTGACCAACTTAGCCCTCCCCAGGTACATGGCAGAAAGCTGGAATGACTTTACACTTTATGTAATTTGTTTTCCTTCTCTCAAAAACTGAAGTCCTACACTGCCTGTTGCAGAATGTCTTAGAGAAGCTGTATTTTGACCAGCCTTCGGTTATTCATGCCATGATTAGTCTAGTAGCAGTTATTTCAGGGAGCAGCAGACAATCTACCTCAGTATAAATTTAGCCCGCTACTTGTAAGTAAAGCTTCACTGGAACACAGTAGAATTGAATGGCTCCACCAAAAACTGTATAGTTCACAAAGCCTTAAATATTCAGTATCAGGCCCTGTGAATTATTTTATCATGGCCAGAAACAAAAAGTTACGTATTGCCATTTTAGAATATTTTAAAATGAAGCAACTGTGTGACAGTATATACTGAATTTTTCTCTTCTACCAGGAGCTTGAATTTACAGTATCTTTATCATGTAATTGGGATCCTAAAACATGTCATCATTCCCTTCTCTGGACCAACGGTTCCACAATTTCTTCATTTCATTTATAAACTATACACCCTAACAAACAATAATCTGTCATTATCAAACTACCTGCTCATTTTGGGAGAATTTTACAATTATCAAGAATGAAATGTGATATGGTAAACAGAATTAATAGTTCATCAGAGGATAGATAAGCTTGTAATGGCCATGCTGAAACACAGTATATGCTATAACCTATGAAAAAAATATATGTGATAACAGAAAATAATTCCAGTAAGCATTCAATTTCAAAGAACTTTAATAATTTAAAAAAATGTATCTAGTAAGATGTTACTTGTTTAAAATACATCCACCACAAAAAAATGTTAAGAAGCTTTCTTTTTGAGTATTAAAGAAACACACTTCTAATTAAATATGTGTATTTGTTATCTATTAATATGTAAAACTCTTAGGCCTAAACCAATAATTAAATTTATTATTATTTCATGGAGTTTTTGGTTAGGAATTCTATGGAGGGAGGCAGGGGGTCTCTCTTATGCAGAAACAGTGAATATCAGCCAGGATGGCTGTAACCACAGGCTGAATTGGAGCTAGAGGATATTTCTAAGATAGGTCACTACATGGCTACTGGCAGGCCTCAGTTCCTTGCCTTGTGGGACTTTGCTAAAAAGTTGCTCGAGTGTCTTCTCTACATGGTGGTTGGTTGCCAAAGAGTGAGCCAACAGAAGGAAGGATACAAGCACAATGTCTTTTGTGACCCAGTCTCGAAGTAAAACACTTTTCTTTCTGCAATGTCTTACTGGCTACACAGATAAGCCCTATTTAGTATGGGAAAGGACTAGAGAGCTGCATGAATACCAGGAGGCAACGATCACTGAGCAACATTTTGGAGGATGGCTGCCACAATGAGTAAAAATTATCACTACATCTGAAGAGATGACAGAAAAGTTGTAATTTCTGAAGCAAAATTTTCTAAAAAATTCTTGTCCCTCTCTGCCTCTGCCAAATTCCCAAGTTATTTGATTCTGCTAATAATAAAGAAATTTTTTCTTTATAGGTCATGCTATTATTACACTCCACAAGTTGGGAAGGCACATAGTAACATCCTATTTAGTACTATAATATATAATAAAACCCTATTATGCTAAGTGTCCTGTCGGCCATTCAGCCAATCAGAGTAATATGCTAATGATATGCTAAGGTCACTCAAACACTTGCTATGCCGTGCACTGAAAACCAGGGGACTGAACGAGACAGGCCAGACACGCCCTGGAGTCCTCCCGCGGTCCCTCCCTGGCTGGCCAACAGCCCTCGTCCCTCCCTGTCCCTGATTGTGCCCCGGTGGGGTCCCTCAGTCTGACCTGTACTATCTTGCAATCCGTGATCCCTTGGGGGATGTCGGAGAGCCAGTTTGGGCCTAATCCTGCAGGTTAGGCCAAGGGACCCCACTGATGCACTAATTAGTGTACTGGGCCTCTAGTATTTAATAAGCTCAAAAATACAAGCTAATTTCTTACCGACCACCATTAGTGTGAACTCAAAACCTTTTTTCACTGATTTTCGGTGAACTTGATTAGGAAGATTTGCAAATCCAACATAGCCAGGAGTTTCTGGATTTATAAACTGAGTTGGTTGTTGCTAAAATAAAATTTTACAAAAAAAAAGAAAAGGGAGAGAAAATATCTTATCAATTACTTAGAAGACATAATGAAACTGTGACAGACCTAAATATCATTAGTTCTCATGAATTTATATACAGTACATAAATAACATTCCTCAAAAGTTACTTTAATCAGAAAATTAATGATATTCACTTAACATTTATTAAAAAGAAGAAAAACCAATCCAGTATTATTATTAATCCAGTTAGCCAACTTCCCACACCCTTCCCTGGCCCTGGTGCGGTCCCTCAGCCTGGCCTGCACCCTCTCGCAATCCGGGACCCCTAAAGGGATGTTGGAGAGCCAAGTATGGCACAATTCTGCAGACCAGGATGAGGGACCCTACTGGTGCACAAGTTTGTGCACAGGGCCTCTAGTATATATATATAAAACCCTAATATGCAAATAGACCAAACCGCAAAACAACCAAATAACCAGTCACTATGACATGTGCTGACCATCAGGAACATGGCAGCTGTTGGTGGCACTGGGATAGTGGAGTGAGTGGGGGCGCCAGACCAAGGTGGGGCGCTGGTTGCTGTAATCAGGGCAAGCCTCTGGTGGTTACTAAAAATTCTTTGCTCCCATGTGCCATGGTCCCGCCTGGCACTTGCACCTGCTGCTGGCGCCTGGCACCAGCCCCAATCGCTGGGTGCCGTCAGCAGGTGCAAGTGGTGACTGCCGACCCCAACTGCCCTTCAGGGCTACTCTACTTCCCCCTGCTCCTGAGGGGCAGTCAGGGCCAGCAGCTGCCTCTTGCACCCGCTGCTAGCAACAATTCTGCTTGCACCTGCTGCTGGTTGAGTATGACCCACGAACCAGGTTTCTGGCTCACCCACTGCTGGCCCCATTCACACCTGCTGCCAGCGCCTGGTGCGGGTCCAGATCACTTGGTGCTGTGAGTGGCATCTGCTGGCCCTGATTGTGCCTGAGGGCTTCTCCATCCCCCTGCTCGCTCCTGAGGGGCAATTGGGCAACAGCTGCCGCTCGCACCTCCTGCTGGCGCTGGCCCCAGTTGCTCTGCGCTTCAGGGGGTGTGAGCGGGGCTGGTGCTGTCAATGCACAGGCATGGAGGTGGAGGCAGTGGGACTGTTGGCAGACAGGGGATCAAGGGCTGCCATGGGAGGGGCCAGGTGGGAGTTACAGAGGATGTACCAAGATCCGTCCCTGTGCCCACTGCAGCCTTGTGGCCTATGGTCTCTTTCAAGGTGAACGAATTCATGCACTGGGCCCTTAGTACTATATAATAAAAGAGTAATATACATGTTAACCATCACTCTGCTATATCCACAAGCCACACCCAAGAGCCAAACAGGAACAAATATGCAAATTAACCTAAACAAGATGGCTACGACAACGGAGTGAGCAGGAGGCTTGCGTTTCTCTGGCAATGGAGGAAGCCAAGCTTTCTGCTCATCCTGGTGGGACCAGGCCATCACTCAAGGGTACAAAGTTTCAATTATAGAAGATAAACCCCAGATGCTTAGGTCGCTGGGGGGGCGTGGCTGGTCTGCAAACCACCACAGGCCCCATGCCCCAAGGAACCCCCACCCTGATCCAGGACACCTTTCAGGGCAAACCAGCTGGCCCCAACCCATGCACCAGGCCTCTATCCAATCTAATCAAAGAGTAATATGCAAATTGACCATCAATCCAACACACAAGATGGCTGTCCCCATGTGGACACAAGATGGACACCATAAGATGGCCAGCAGAGGAGAGCAGGTTGGAGGGACCAGGCCTGCAAGGGAGGGCAGTTGGGGACAATCAGGCCTGCAGGGGAGGGCAGTTAGGGGTGACCAGGCCAGCAGAGGAGGGAAGTTGGGGGCAACCAGGCCTGCAGGAAAGGGCAATTGGGGGGAGGGGGGGAACCCAGGCCTGCAGGGGAGAGGAGTTGGAGGGGGACCAAGCCTGCAGGGCAGGGCATTTAGTGGTGACCAGGCCTGAAGGGGAGGACAGTTAGGGGCAAACAAGGTTGGTAGGGGAACAGTTAGGCATCAATCAGACTGGCAGGGAAGTGGTTAACGGATGATCAGGCTGGCAGGCAGAAGCAGTTAGGGGCAATTAGGAAGGCAGGCCAGCCGTCCTGGATTGTGAGATGGATGTTGACTGCCCATTTAGGCCTGATCCTACTGGCCTAAAGGGGCAGTCAGACATCCCTCAAGGGGTCTCAAATTGGAGGGTGCAGGCTGGGCTGAGGGACACCCCCTCATGCATGAATTTTGTGCTACGGACCTCTAGTAGATATATAAAAGGCCAATATGCAAAGTGTCCCCTTGGGAGTTCAACTGGGATAATGGGTATTCAATTGCTTGCTATGACGTGTGCTGACCACCAGGAGGGTGGCTTGAAATATGGCAGGGGACCAGCGGCAGGGCACCGAGGGAGTGAGGGAAGGAGGAGGTAGGGAGGTGGGGAACCTGATTGGCCCTGATCACAAGCCAGGCTTAGGGACCCTCCCCATGCATGTATTTCGTGCCCAGGGTCTCTAGTACTTGTATAAAAAACAATGCTTATACCCAAAAATTCAAAAATGAAAGGCAAAAAGAAAGAATATAATCTAGTAATTTTAACCACAAATTCTGCTTTCCTCCACATGTCTTTTAGAATTAATTTATTCCAAGGCTCTGGGCTAATCTGCAAAAGATAATATAAACCAATTTATCAAGTTGAAGAGCCCCATCAATTTTATCATGTTAAATTATTAGAATTTTAAATTATTATTTGATTAGTCTGATGGGAATGACCTATGGAGGCTAAATGGGTTGTTCCTGATGTATTTAGAAATTTGAAATCTGAAAGAAAAAGAACTCAAAGCTTTTTTTAAGGACAATTAAATTAGAACTTTGTCTTAATGAACCAAATAGACCAGCTATATTAAAAATAATGAGTCATCCATACTATAGTTAGATCAGCTATATTAAACATAATGCCCGGCTGGTGTGGCTTAGTGGTTGAAAATGAACCCATGAACCAGGAGGTGCAGATTTCAGGCTCAATCCACAGTAGGGAGTGTGCAGGAGGCAGCTAATTAATGATTCTAATCACTGATGTGTTTTTTTTTCTCTCTCTCCCTCTCCCATCCTCTCTGAAATAAATTAAAACATACTTAAATAAAAATAACGAATCATAAATTTCGACTATAAACAGTTTGAGAACATAAAGCCATTTCTGCTCACACGGTAGATACAGGAAGTATAGGTTCTTACCTTAGACATCTTCAGTGAAGTTCTGGTCAATCTGTAAAAACACACAGGCATATATCCATAATGGACACATGTATTTAACTTAGCATGAACTGACATGAAACACACACATAAAGCATCAATAGCTTATTCATTCAGCTTCTCAATTAAATCAAATACTTCCCCAGAAATGATAAAATTATTTCATTATAAAGATAAATTAGATATGAATTAGTTCATGAAAGCAACAATACATATCTATGCATACATATATACATCATTCCATATTTTCAAGAATATTGACTTTCTTTAATAATGAGAATATGTTAGGTACTGCAATCACAGGTTATATCAGAAGACAAGTTTCCATGACCTCTGGAACTGGGTCTTCTCCTCTCTTTGAACTTTTTCAACAAGTAAAGGATGCCTGGCTCAGCTGGTTGAGCATTGGCCTGTGCACCGAAAGGTTGCGAGTTCAATTCCTGGTCAGGGCACATGCACAGGAGGCAACAGATTGATGTTCCTCTCTTTTTCTCTCTCTGTAACCATGTCCTCAGGTGAGGATTGAAAAAAAAAGAAAGAGGTGTTTGAAGAACACTGTGCTACCTACCTGTCAAAGATTCCTAGAGTGCCTGAAAATTAGATATTGACACTGGGGATACAGAGCAATATGAACTACATTTATAAGTAAAGGAAAAAGGACTTAAGGCACTTGAGTGTTTGAGAACTGTGATAGTTTTAGAGTTATCTGGAATTTTAATGTAAATTTTAGAAGCCTTGAAACTTTGGGAAATGTGTGGGATCTGTTGGCTGACCTTTGGTAACAAAGTCAAGAGATCTGAATGCAATCAAATTTTATGCTCTCTGAAGCTTAGAAACTTTATTAAAAAGCTTCTTTTAATTTTGTACCCCCTCCCCCCCAAAAAAAATCTTTTTATGAATACTGCACACTCTTAAGTTTTCCTTCCAAATGGAAATGTTTCCAGCCACCTCTGATGAAATGAGGCCCCTGCATCCCAGTGTATCACTTGGTTAACCAAGGATAAGACAGGATTTCTAAGGAATTTGTTTCAAAGAACCAGCTTCTAGATTTTATTTAACTTTCTATTGTGATACTTTGTTCATCATTTCTTTCTTTCTTTCTTCTTTCTTTTTTTTTTTTTAAAGAGAAACATCTATATGAGAGTGAAATATCCATCTGCTGCCTCTTGCACACCCCTTACTGAGGATCGAGCTTGTAACCCAAGCCATATGCCCTAACGGAATCAAACTGGAAATCTTTTGGTGCACAGAATGGCACACTACTACACTGGCCAGGGCCATTTTATTTAAATGTATTGATTTTAGAGAGAGGAAGAGAGACATTGATTTGTTGTTCCACTTATTTATGCATTCACTGGTTGTTTCTTGTATGTGCCCCAAAATCTTGTTGTATCTGGACAATGCTCTAATCAATTGAGCCACCTGGTTAGGGTTACACCTCTCCAGTTTTAATGGAGCATAATTTATAAACAGCTAGTATAAAAATCTCTTTTCAAAGTTGCTTAAATTTTCTTCACAGCAGTTACATAATTTTAAAAAATTTCAATTGTTTTAAAAAATATTATTTTTAATTTGTAGAGAGAGGAAGGGAGAGGGAAAGAAACATTGATGAGAAACATCATCAATCAGCTGCTTCCTACACACCCTCTACTGGGGATCTAGCCCAAAACCAGGGCATGTGCCCTAAACCAGGAATTGACCCATTGACCTCTTAGTTCATGGGTCCAGGCTCAACTGCTGACTCACACCAGTTAAGCACAAATTGCTTTTCTTTATGCACCTGGTTTCCAAGTGAGAAAGTCTTATCTGGCAACACAGAATGCCAAGCACTGTAACTCTTGGGTGCAGACCAGTTGGATCCCCCAAACCTCAGAAATGTGGTCAAATGAAAATTTTATTCTTTCAGGTTGTGCTCAGTGTTCTAAATGCTAGATCTTGTTTATAAGTTTTTTTCCTTGACCTATGGCTTTCTTCTTCCACAAAGCAATACTCCTATGCCAATTCATATTTTCCAAAACAAAAGATGAATAACGATGGATAAAACTGGGTTCTTGGCAATATAAACATATTCTGCTGGTGGCATTTATATTAATGGACTACCCATAACTACCATGTATTGTCATGTTACTCTTGTATTTTATATACATTATCCCGAGTTCACAAAAATGACCCTGCAGTGCAGGACCTAGAAGGTTCATAATCCCTTATCTAAAGCCCTTGGAATGTTCTGGCATTCAGATTATTTGGATCTGAAGATCCATGTACAGTATACCCCATGACACCCTCAATGGTATCTTGGGCAGCAGTCAACATCCAAAAGTATTTTATGTAGTGACATGTATGACAATTAGCAAAAAGTGGGATAAATATGGACTATATACATGGATTCAACCCAATTTTGCTGCCATTTGAGTTTTGGTGTCCTCTCTCTGGAAAAAGAACAAAACTTCCTTTTTTTTTTTTTTTTTAGCAGTTTCTCTTTGGTGTTGGATATAAAAAGGGACGTGAATCATATTTATGAAAGACAGGGCTTCCACTCATTCCCTGCTCATTTCCCTCAGTCACCCTGCTAATCTGACCTAATGGAAAAGCCCTTGTTCTTTACCCTGGGCTGCTGTGCAGCGAGAGATCAAGATGGACAGTGGGAAGAAATATCAGGATATCCTTTCTAGCTGAAATCCCTGCCAAGATTGGACAAAGCAGCACACAGTGAGTTAGGAAGTTGGGTGGTGCAAAGAAAGCCTGTGTAGGAACTACCAAAAATGGACATCGTGAACTTCCAACTACAAACACCAGAAAGCAGCTTTCATGACCCCTTATGTATTTCTCCTCATGACAGTTAAGTCTGTTTTGGAACATACTTATTTTGAGGTATTATAACAGTAAGTTGTTCAATAAATATTTGGGAACTTACTATGTGAGGGTCACTGTGCTAGGCAATGGGTAAGGTAAGTTCACACATCCCCTGCCCCTCACAGGACAACTACCATACAGTATGACAAAGGCTAACATCAGGCCAACATCTATGCCAGCTGTAGGAAATCTAATCTGGACCAAGTCCTCAATAGCAGAGCTGGGACTAGGCAAGCAAAAGGCAGAAAAGATGGGGAAGTAGCTGGGCTCTAGACAAAAGAAAAGGTTTGGGCCGAGGCCAAAAAGAAAGACCACAGCAGTTTGAGTTCAGTGTGGTTGGGTCACGTGTCTATGGGGGAGGATAGACAAAGTAAGGGTGGTACTGGTAAAAAAAAAAAATTAGGCGGAAAAGTAAATGGTGGCCAGGTCTTGTGGGTCCTGTGGACCACGGGAGAGTTGGGGCTTAACAGAAAGCAAGGGTAGCCGCAGATCGGCCTCCTCGCCTCAGGCCTTAAGAAGAATGGTGGGGCCTCTCCCCTGCAGCCAGATAGCCAAGGCGACAAGGACTTTCTCCCGCTAGCCCCTTCTGTCAGGGGCTAGCGGGAGAAAAGGGCCCAAGTGAAAGGCGACAAAAGGATGGCCGCACGACAAAAGCATTCTCCCTCCCGGTCCACGACCGCCAACTGCGCGTTGGGCACCCCAGCCAACTGCTGAAATAGTTGCACAGAATTATCTCACAGAGCGAGCGAGGGGTCACTTGGGTTCTCCCGGGACACACCCGGTCGTTTCCGCCAGAGACAGGGCTCCCGGGGGGCGGGGCCCGGGGAGGGCCCGGAAGGCTGGGGAGAAGGGAGAGGAGGGCCCGGGAAAGGAGGGGGAGGGTAGAGAACCTGGGAGAGCGGGGAGGACCAAAGACCACAGGCTGACAGCCCCTCCCCCACACTGCGCGGGCACCACGGCCAGTGAGCTCCCCGGGACGGCTAACCGACATCCAGAGCTGGCCCCCTACCCCTTCCGTGCCGGCCCACAGGTCGCATCCCGGCAGCAGCGGCGGGGACCCACGGGGAGACACTCACCGCGGAGGAGCCGAAGAAGAACCGACCGACCGCGCCGCGTCCCCACCCAGCGCCTGCCTTCCGCTCTCGCCCCGCCCCGCCCCGCGGGCAGGCGGAGTGCGTCATCACGTTGCCCCGCCCCTTTGCCAACGCATTCCTTTCCTCTGTGCGACCTGTCCAGCCTCCCCTCCCCCATGCGCCGGTTTCTGAATGCGCAGGCGCAGGCTCGTCCGCGTTTTCCGCCTCTGCGCAGGCGCCTTGCCCCTCCCACGGCGGTTGGCCATATAGACGCTGGGGGTGGGGGGGAGGTCAAGCGTAGCCTCTTCTCCTTTACCAAGATGGCGGCTTGTCCCTGTTTCGCCACAGTTCCCAGCTTGTGAGCCTGATCTCCTTACGCTGGTAAGACTGGAACAGGTAATGTGATTCTTCGCCTGTGGGTAACTAGAGTAGGGGGAAGGAAGTCTCTTTAGAAGGAGCTAAGTGACTGCTGAGGAGAACAGAGGCGTTCGGGGAAGGGTAGGTGGCGGTAAGAGTGCGGAGCGACCGCAGGGGCGGGCGCCTTCGCCTCTGGCCCTCTCCTCCAGGAAGATGGCGGCAGCACCGAGTTGGATGTGCTGGAGCGGGGCCGGAGTGGGGATGGCTAGCGGACGAGCGGGCCGCTCCAGCACTTGGCTACCGTCGTCTCGATGGTCGGGGGGCCTCGCCACGATTGGCTGCCGCACGTCACGTGGGCCGGCAGGTCTGTGCGCAGACCTTAGAGTCGGCACTGGTCTCGGGGGACGTGGCCTTCGAGCGCCTGGGGCTGGGGCTGGGGCTTGTGCCCCACGGGGAGGGCGGGGCCGCGGGCTTCCCTCCCCCTTTCTCCTTGGGGTCCGGGTTGCGAGGTGAGACCTGGGGGGCACTCCCAAATCCGCTGGGATCGCGTGGCTCGTGGACTCGGGGCGGGAGGGCAGCATGCCGGGGCGGGGCGGGAGAAGCGCTGCCCTCTGCCCTCGCCGGGGTGTCCTTCCTCCCTCCCGGTGGCCTGTAGGCCCAGCAGCCGTCCCATACTCTTGAAGGTTGTGCGCGGATGCTTTCCCACAG